CACCCGCCGTTGAACTCACGTGTCTCTTGTGTGTGTGTGTGTGTGTGTGTGTGTGTGCCCCCCACCTGTCGCCCGCTCGCTTGGCGCGTTTCCGACGCTCCGGCATACAGAACGCCCGCATGCCTGTTGTGTATGAGCCCATCTGTCAACCCCCCCTCCCCCTTCCAATCCAGCCGGCGGCGGTTATACAACCTACCGATAATTTGTTACTTGACCTACTGATAAGCACGCTAAGCAGGGGTCTGCATTAGCGTTGTAACATCTAAGCTGTATATAGTTAGTACTGTCATAAAATGTCTTGGCGCTCACAGCTATACCTTAGGAAGGTGAATTTAATACTTTCTTCTCTTCTTACGTAGTGACTGGTGCGTACAGGCCTACGAGCATCTTCTTGAGCCTATATGGAAGCCAGTTTTGGAGCCTATATGGGGCCCATATTCGAGCCCATATGGGAGCCCATATTCGAGCCTATATAGAACACCAAAAAACGAGCAGTATAGCTAGTTCTCCAGCTTCACTTTCTACCACCACTATTTCTATCTCTCTATCGCAGCATTACTCTATTTCTATTAATATAGTAGCTATCTTCTTTTACTTAGAGTTGCTACTGTAACTTACAAAAAATACCACTAATGTTTTAGCCAAGCGCGCCATGCCTAACTCTGGCTTAGCGGGCTTATCGGTAGGTCAAATAACAAATTATCGGTAGGTTGTTTAACCCGCGCCAATCCAGCCCAGCTTTCGCGTTCCCAATCCGTCCACCACCCTCGACGCCATCCGTCCTATTCCGTCTGCTGCTGTGCCCCCCCCCCCCGCCTCTTCCTTCTGCACACGCACACGCAAACCACGCTTATTCCCCCCAGCCCACTCGTGCGTGCATCGACTGCGCCCCTCTTTCTCACCCTCGCTCCCTCTAGCTGCGTCAAAATCCTTCTACAGACTGGCGCTAAACGAGTCCAGCCCATTGTGTGGCTTGCGCTGTTAGCCAAACCCTCCCCATCCGACACTGCGCGACCGCCATGCCGCCCATTGGCATCAGGCACAAATTCGTCTGGTCCGAGTTCAGCCTCGTCGGATGCAGGCTGTCGCTCCTGTTTAGGGGCCAACAACAGGCCGCTGTGACCCTCACCATCCATGTCCCTAGGCCCCCGCCGCGAGCACGAGTCTAAGAGCCCTACACCTACATGGTCCCTTGACTGACTCTCGTTGGTCTTGCCCGGTAAGTAACCATAGCTGACAACCCCCCACGACCTAGTATCGCTTATCCAATGCTGTTCCTCTAGTCACCACTCCATCTCGCCTCTCATACCGTGCACCTGGGACCCCCCCCCCACACACACACACACATGCGTCATGATGCAAGTACATATTCTGTCCATTGTCAAGTTCAAGTGATTTCTTTATCGTACCATGGGGGTATAGTATGCCAACAAGACCTTCTCTCGTCTTTCTTCTCTGTCGCTCGCTCGCTCGCTCTCTCTCCTCTCTCTCCTACTCGCTGATAAGAATAACGCTCAACCAACAATACAAAAATATTCACTCCTTATATGCACCATGAACATTCCCAAGCCCACATGCAACGCTGACAAACAAAAAAAATGTAACGCTTACAGAGTCGCTGTCGCACTGGAAACGGCTCTCGCGATAATCATACGCAATCGTTTAGGGGAAAAGTCTAGGGAAGAAAAAAGAAGAAGAAAGAAAGAAAGAAGGAAAGAGAAAAAAAAAGAAGAAAAAGCTCAACATGTCGAAGCGTACAAGATCGTACATATTATATTAAAGTAGCATGGCTTCAAGCCACCGAATGCGGACGCCGTTGGCGCAAACTCGGTTTCGACGAATGAAGAAGTCGCAACCGCCATATCGTGCGCCTCAAAGGGGTAACTGTTCGTGAAAAAGAAATCAATCGTCAGCATACGCCAAAACCAAACGGTGCTGGTCATCATGCATGCGAGGGGAAGGGCGCAGACAAGAGAGGCGTCGACTTGGGCTCGGATGCACAAGGCTTGGAGGCTTCATTCGCACCATCATCCTCATTGTCCTTTGCTCCCGTCTCGGCCTCCTTGCTGCTTTCGTCCAATTCGGCCTCGCGAGCCTCGCGCTCGGCATAAATCTTCTGTTTCTGCGCCTGTGCGTTGGCCAGCGTGTCGATGTACATGCGGAACTTGACAATCTCCCGCAGAAGATACTGCGACTTGCGCTCCCAATTGGCCATGGCCTTTGCCGCATTGGGGTGACGAGGTGAGAACTAATGCCCATGATTAGTAACCGCTTCTGACCACATGGGGCAATCACAAAACTTACCGCTATGAGCATAGGCGCCCTCAGTTCATTGTGGTGAGAGAGCTCGTTCTCAATGTTCTTCACGTAGTCAGTCAATGCTCGCAGCTGGTCCACCTCCATAAGAGTGCTGGCCATCATGCTCGACGCCGGTGGGCTCCAGTCAGAGAGCACCACCTTGTCACCAGGCAGTCTGGGCTTGGGCGCGCCCGTGGCATGGTCCATCGAACTACGAAGGGAGCTTGTGACACTGGGACGGGGCATGTGGCCTTGCACCGACGGTGCGCTGTCTTGTCGGATCAAAGCTGGGTTGATGACGTTTTCACCCCATCCATACTCCATGCTGCTGACACCACCCGTCAAGGGCTCCTTCGAGAGACGTGCAGACCAGTAATTAATGGTACACACAAATTCTCGGCAGATATCAGGTGTTCCCACCTGAAACAAATGAACGGCCCCGTTGGGCAGCGACAGGGCGAAGACATGCGGCCGCGTCTTGGAGTACCCGGGCGGCGGCAGGGCACTCGCAATCGTCTGTCGGAGTTGGAAACTGTCCAGGGCTTCTGCGTTATCCATCCAGTTGCCGCCACCCACAACTCCACCCGTCGATGGCCGCAATTTGCTCTTTTGCCTCGCGGATTTGGAGTTCATGCTGAAGGAAAACAGCCGTATGCAACCCTTTTCCACCACTGCAAAACACTCGTTCCACGTACGGTCCTTGGCCTTTCTGTCCACTGCTTCGAGATGTCGCTTGTGTTTGAGAATACCTTCTTTTGCCCAAGGCGCTCCCACAAGCTCCAGAGTCTCGTCTTCCAGGAGTGGCGCAACGCGGGAAAATTCTTCGTCGCTCGCAATCGTCATGCCTTCCTCGCGAATAATGGCCTGGCTAAGAGCATTGGCAAACCCAATGGCTTGTTGATAGTCGCCTGCCGCGAAATGAGAGCCGAGCGAATCCACAGACATGGACGTGCCGGTTTTGCCGTACGAGTATCGGCTCCAAGTGCTCGAGCCAGCGGGACTCCATACTGACTGCTCGTCGAGACTGGTTCGGCTCGAGGCTACCGTGGATGAAGGGTACAGTCTTTGTTTTGAGCGGTTCTTAGAAGCCCAGCGATTACCCATGCTGCGCAAGTCATTTTGTGACCGGCCCCGGTAACTGGTGTGGTCAGAAGGTGCTTTGCTCAGCACACTTGGAGTGCGGCGTAGCATGCCAGAAACAGAAAGGTTGTTGTTCGAAGGCTGATGGTGGACAACAAGATCCGAGGACCCGTGGAGAGGCAGCCGTTGCTTGCGGATCGAGTCGTAGAATTCCTTGAGCACCGTCTCGACCTGGAATTCCCATCCCTTCATGGGGCCATTGTAAGGCGTGTTGACAAGTGTGTTGGACTCGGACATGGCCGAGTCAAAGGTAGACATTCCCTCGGAGCCGCTCCTGGGAGGTGGTCGGATAGAAAGCCGGCTGCGAGTCTTCCTAGCATCGGTAGACTCCTCTAATCCATCCGTAGTGAGATGGGCAGTCTCGTGGCCTGGCGAACTGGGCTCGGATTTGTCGTTCCAGGGCAGTGAAGGTCTACGGCAATGCGTAGACTGGGGCCTCAGTGTCTCGTCGCCTGCAGCCTTGATGGCGTCCTGGCACACACGTATAACGGTAGGCAGCGTGTTGCGAACAAACTGGCTACGTGTCATCCTGGATTCAATATCGGCTAAATGCAGGTCCGTGTTCAAAAGCAAAATGGAGTAGCAGATGGTGTGCACAACATCTGAAATGGACGAGTTAGCTTTGGGCAATCCTACTAACAAGTGTGTATACTACAAACAACTCACCAACTGCTTTGAAACCATGGTTGGGGTTGCATTCACACCAGCGCTCCGAGAGGCTCATGAGAATGCGGTCCACTTGCTGTGTCTCGGCCTTGAGGATAATCTTGCCGCAAAGGTCACGCATGGCAGCCAGGATATTGAAGCCAGTCCAGTCGAACAAGTCCATGAAAGCCTTGCGTGTTCGGGTGCTGGGGAGGCCAACATCGCCCAGCATGGCAGCTGCCTGTGTCTTGAGTCCAGATGAGTCGTCTCCGTTGTAGATCTGGAACGCCCGTTCACGCTCGGCGTCGGTGGGCTCACTGTGCAACGACCGGTCATCAACCTGTGTGGGCATGGCTTCGGATTCGGAATCTCGGCTTTCAACCTGTACTATAGGCAGCTCGTTTGCCAGATAGAATATGTCATTGGGCGTGGTTGGTGTCTGCGTCTTAGGAGAGGCGGAAAACGACTTGTCCAGTGATGGTTGTAACGATAATATGCCCTCTAAAGGAAGAGCCAGGTCATCCGTAGTATCGCCGAGAGCGTCCGAAACAGTCGTATCGAGCCATACACGCTTTTCGGCGGGGGTCCTGTTGCCCGACGAGAAGAGCTTGTCTGATGCTTCGGTAATGACCCAGCCGTCATCCTCGACTTCGGATGCGGATGCGGACTGTGATACCGAGCCGCTTCTCGATGCTGGGCCTTCGTGTGGCAATAGCCGGTCGGCGCGCTGGTCGTCTGATGGCTTGTTGTTGTTGGTGGTGGTGGTGGAGGTGGTGGTCATGCCCTCTGCCTGCTTGGGAAAGGTCCAAGTGGGTCCAGGGCTCGGCCTCTGGACTTCATCCGCACCACTCTGTTCACCCATGGGTGTCGCGCGACCGCTGCGATCTTCGTTGCAGCTGCTGCTGTCTGCAAGGAAGCTGTCTTCCTGGGGGGCGGGGATGGTGGACTTGCCGTGTTTCAGTTTCAGTTTCAGCTTGGGGCTATTTGCACTGCTCAGATGAGAGACCTTCAATTGCTCGTGACGGGAGGCAGGGGGCGTCTGTTCATGGCCTTGCGAGCCAGGGTTCACGGTGCGAACGGTCGCATCCTTGTGGGGCTTGTAGCCAGGGGAGAAGCCCTGTGGGCGCTCGTCGTCGTCTGCGACGTCATCCTCGGGCTGCTGGTCCCGCGGCGTCTTGTCGCCAGTGCGCCCCGCATCATTCAGGTATGGGTTCATAACCTTGCGTAGACTGCTGACACCTGGGCTGGGCTGGGTGGGTAAGACGGGCCTCGGTGGTGGGGAGTGATCCAGAGCCATGGCTGGGGGCTTGGTGCTTTCGGACAGCGACTTCTTGCGACGCCTGAAAAAGGAAGATGGCTTCTTGCCTAGCGTGGGCGCTTGGGACGGCTGTTGGGTGTCGGCATGCGAAGAGGATGCGGTTTGGGGGGCTTTGGGTATGGGCCTGGTTTGGGCCGCAGTGCTGGTGTTGGGTGTGGTGCGTGGTCGATTGGACGAATATATCGAATTGACATCTGCCGTGTGCAGCTTGTTGGGGGGTGGCATTGACTCTGTTTGTGGCGCGTTTGATAGTGTTGAGGTATTTGATGGCTGCGCTTGTGGTTTTGCAGATCCTCCGCCAAAGACACGGCGAAAGAAGCCAGGCTTGGAGCTTGACGAGGCGGCCGCTGTGGTTGTTGTTGTTGTTGTTGCTGCTGTTGTTATTGTTGCGGCCGCCGATGCCGTCGACGGGGGTTGTGGAGAAAACAATGGGCTTCTGGTGACTACGCCGGGTGAGGGGGTCAGTGAGTCTTGCCACGAGGGTACGGGAGGAAGGTCTCGCAATCTGCTGGCGTTGACAAACTCCTCGGCCTGTGCTCGCATGCTTGGCCCGGGTTGACTTTTGTTTTTCCGCAAGGTCTTGTAGCTAGTGTTTGAGTGGGCGCTACCTCTGCGGCCAGGCCTAGAGGCTTGCGACGAAGCGTACGAGGGTTGCGGGGGAAGGGCTAGCGGGGATTGCGGCGGTTCCTGGACTCGTCGGGGACCAGCCGGAACGGTTGGCTCTGGCGCGGCATCGTAATCATCATGGTAGGTCTGGTACGCGACACGGTCTCGGTCCAGGACGGACTCGACCTTGAGTGGCGAGATGCGCCCCCGCTCGCTTGCATTGCTATGGTCAAAACTCGCAGAGCGCTTCCCAAAGCCCAGCCGCTGATTGCCCAAGATGCCCGACTGGCCAAAATCCATGCTCGACGACCCGCTGCCCATGCTGCCCTTTGTGTTTCCGCCTCGCAGATGGCCCAGCTGGCCGTAGGAACCGTTGACCTGCCGACCCGAAGGACCGTCTCTGGTGCTCCCCCGCCGCGAGAGGAGGCCGTTGTTGCTGCTGTTGATGTTGTTGCTGCTGTTGCTGCGACGGGCGCGCGAGTGGTGGACCGTGTAGCGGGCGTAGTCGTCGAGCGAGGCGTCGTAGTCGGACGAGCGCGACGACGTGTGCGTGTGGCCGCGGTGGCGGGCGCCGGGCGGGCGGAAAGACGTGTCGCGGAGGAAGCTGCTGCTGTTGGTGTTGTCGTCGTCGGCGTAGTGGTGGTAGCGGGGGCCGGGGCTGCCAAACAGGTTTCCAGAGGAGAATTGGTCGAGCGACAAGAGCATGTTATCCACGACCGAGTCTCTGACATTGCCGACCTCTGCAAAGGATAGGTCATGGGAGTCGCGCAGGGGGTCGTGCTTGGGGGTGCCGTTCACGGCGTCGACGGGCGTGGCATCGTCGAAGAAGGTGTCGTGCTTGGGCGGGTTGGTGTTGAGGGCCTTCATTGAGGTGCTTTGTTTGTATGTCCTCGAGGGACCGGTGGGAGTCGAGGGCCGGGCATCGAAGAGAGAGCGCTCGGCCATGGCTTGATTTGACACGGCGGAGGAAAGAGAAGGCTAATTCCCACACGCTGGCACTGGAGCATGCTCCGGGGCGGACAGGCAGCTCTCACGCCGACGAGACGGGAACGACTGGGAAACCTTGAGCGGCCTGGCGTGGCAGCGGGTGGCTCGCGCAGGTGACGATGGATGTCAGTGGTGGGACTGCGGCGAGGGTTGCGGCCGTTTATCGTTGTCGACGGAGACGAGACAAGACGGGAGCAGGATGCTAGGAGCGAATCAAGGCGTGTCGCAATGGCATGACACGCGCAGCGAAACAGCAGGCGGGCTAAACTAAGTTTGCGCTGCTGGATGCGGTTGCGGGGGGGGGTGCTTTTGTTCAGGGGGTCCAAACGGTCGAAGTTCTTGTGGTGTTGCACGATGGCGCCGAAAACAGCCACGCACAAGCACGCAGGCTCTCTCTCTCTCTCTCTCTCTCTCTCGGGCGGGCCACGGCAGGCAGGCTGGCTGGTGGTGACGGCGCGGGTCGAGGCAGGGCGGCTTGGGGGTGGGCGCGCAGATTGCAAGGAGAAACAGGCAGGGCGCGGTGGTACGTAGAAGGCGTCCAGAATGCTCGTGGAAAGAAAAAAAGGGCCGCCGCCGAGCGTGGTTCCGATGCAGGACGACGAGAGGAGGCGGCGATGCAAACCTTGTCGAGTCATATTAAGCCTGGCCTCTCGGACAGAGACGAGCAAATCGAGGGCGGATGCGGGCGCGAGTCAGGGAGGGAGAGACAGTGTCTTGGACGCCCGCGCGGGCCCCGGTGCTAGCAGACATTGCTGCACTCATTGATTCACGCACTCGGCACGCATTCACTCGCTCCTTCACCCATGGCCCGCGCTTGGCTCGTTGCGGCCTGCAGCGGCGCCATGGGCTCATGAAACACTGCCGGCCGTGTGCGTACATGTAGACATGTGTATGTGTGTGTCGACCATGTACATGTACATATCCACAACGGTAATGGTAGCAGGAGTGGTAGCAGGAGTGGTGGCAGGAGTGGTGGCAGCAGTGGTGGCAGGAGTGGTGGCAGCAGTGGTAGCAGGTAGGGGCAAAACTGTTATGCAGGAAAGCGGAGCATGCCGGAGCGCATGTGTGCGAGGCGCGACCCGTAGCCGTCTCAAGACATGTCCATGGGCGGTGCGTGGGCGGCAAGGCCGGCGGAGCAAGTGCAAGCAGAGATGATGTGCGTACGCGTCGGTAGACCTGTCGTGGAGAGTCGTCGTGGGTGGGCTGGTGTGGTGGCCGCGACTCAGAATCCAGTCCAGTCGGCCGGTGCTGTGTGTGGTCGGCGGCGGTGTGGGCTTATCCGGGCCCTGGCGCTGCTGCTCACGGCATTGTGTGGTGGGGGTGCGGGCAAGGCGAGTCTTGTGCTGGGGCGGCGGCGGGTATGGCTGGATGAGGCGAATTGGCTGCTGGCGTAGGCGCCCGATGGTGATGCGGTGGTGTGGTGTGGTGGTGGTAGTGGTGGTAGTGGTGGTGGTTAAGACGGGGGGGGGGGGGCCAACCCTATTGCCCCCGGGGAGTCCCTTTAGCGAACAAGTGGACAGTGCAGTGCCTCCAAAGGGGGGTTCCCTTGTCCCCTGTCCCTGTCCCTGTCCCCTTGTCCCCATCCGCTGCGGCCATGCTGCAGATATCTAGTCCTATGGCAGTCGTCGTCGTCGTGTCTGGGCGCGTGCTTTCTTTTTCTCTCCTGCACCCAGCCGCACAGGCACAGGCACAGGCACAGCTACACGCACACACGCACAACCCCCTGGCTGCTCCGGAAACAAGCCTCCGCACCCCATCCGCATTCCCATAGCAAAAAGCGCACTGGCTCTGCCTCTGCCTCTGTACTACACACGCTCGACGCCGCTGCTGACCGCCGCCCCCTGCGCGCCATAGGTTGACAGGCCAGACTCGCTACCCAGTACATATCGCCGGGCTCTATAACCTACCTCTGCTAAGAAAAACCTCCGCTACACCTACAGGGAACATCCCTTCACCACCTGCGCCGTCTCGCCAGTCTCCAGCCGCCGCCTCCAGCCTCAGCTCTCTGCTCGTCGCGCTGCTCATCACACTGATACTCGTTGCCAAGGCGCCCTCTATGCCCGGCTCCCGCACGTGACCCGCCCATCATGCCTAAGCACTCTTGATTAATGCAGGCCCGGTTACACACAAACGCGCGACATTGTCCATTGTCATTCCTAGTCTCATCTAAGACGACGTCGGCATATCAAGCAACCAAGAGAAGCGTATTTGCATTACCGCATCAGGCAACCCATGCACCCATCCAATGACCACTGCTCCTCACAAAGCCAGGCCTCGTGTCGCCCACCAGCTCGAAACCCTCGCTGCTGCGAACATCAAAGTTGAGCGATGCAGCACGCGTCCGTCCTCGATTGGCGAAAACCTTGTACCCGTTTTCGCATGATCGACTGCCCTAGCAGACACGCGCTTATCAATCGCCAGAGCCCGCTTGCTTGGCCATGGCCATGCCCACTTTTTCCAGCAGTCATCCTCTCTCTCTCTCCCCTTTCCCATAATCCCACATGACACAAACGCCGACACTACGTACTCACCCACGACAAGCAAAGTTCATTGATCGCCGGTCCTTTTTTTGGTCCATTATCTTAATATACTTCCCTGTCTAGCGCCTGCGCTGACTCCCCCAAAACCACCTGAATCAGCTAGTCACGCGCCCTCGTACAATCACAGTACTCTGGGGATTTGTCAAGATTCCGCTTACTCACTCACACCGCATATCAAAGAGTCATGCCAAGACGAGGGAAGGAAGAAGAAGATTTACACAACGAGGCCGGGAATAGCGAAAAATGACCATGAGATTTTTTTTGACCATTCATCTCGCCTGCTGTGAAGCAAATCTTACTTTTACATATACACCTAGCAATATCACATCCCAACTATATACTTTTGCGCCCCAAATCTCGCCCTCTACTCGCCCAGCAGAACTCCTTCCTCTTGCTGCCCATATATATATATATATATATATGCTTTGCCATGTCTGCCCAACAACAACAAAAGTCACTCAGCCCAAAATAAAATCCCTCCGTATTCCCCCGTGTACTCTTCCTGGCATCTACCTTACAGCTTGCATGTCCATGTCCATACAAGTATCTATGTGTGTATGTACCAAGCCCAGACCAGCCTAGCTCCACGCATACACAAGGAAAATATCTTATCAGCGCCCCCACCCCCATCTCTCCATTCACTCCCAAATCCATACATGTATATATGTATATATATATATATACCACAGCCTTGTCATGGATGCGATTCCCCGATTCTCTAATTTCTCGTAATCCCCGTACATGTACATGCAACATTTACCAGTGTAACTTTCGACGTGGGCATTCATGTATTCCTGCACCACTCGACTTGCTCGTTGGTTCGTTCGTTCAATCAGGAGAATCACATACCTGTCTCTATAGCTACATCTAAGACTAAGACTAAGACCCAAGGTTAAGGCTAAGGCTAGGACTGATCTTGTACAGGTATACCACATGTGCATAACTCTTGTTAACTTCGTACTGCACGGTACATGACTCCGTAATTACGTACATGACTACAGTACATAACTAAGTACCTACCTTCCCCTCGTATTCACCTAGCCCTGTTGCCTTTTTTTCTTTCTTTCCTTCCACGTGACGAGTTAGGAAGACTATTCACACACCTATACACATGTAAACATATAAACATCCAAACAAGCTGGAATAACAATATCACCAGTCCTCAGCACACTCCTCGGAATAGCACATATCATACAATATGCATGATATCATATTATATAATACCAGCGCTCTGCTTGACATTGCTAGTCCTGTTCCTACGTATTCCTATTCCTAGTCTAATTCCTACTCCTGTTCCTGGTCTTATTCTTATGTATCTTTTTTTTTTCAATTCCACAGGGATGCATGTCTATATCCGTATGAATTACTGTGATTGGTGCAATTGACCCTTTTGTTGATCTGATGGATTGATTTGATTGGGTTGTCATCAACGTGATTAAGTACTAGTGGGATTGGGGGGGGGGTCGGGAGAGGGGCGACTGACAGGGATAAAATCCATATAGTCACGTTCTCATAATATGCCAATTTCCCAGCATAGAGTGGAAGGGTAGAAAAGGGGATTTGCCGAGCATTATTTTCTTTTCTTTTTCTCTCTTTCTTGTTGTGGCATAGGTATACTTGTGCAATGGATTGCACTGGTTGGCTTCTTCGGGACGGGCTTGCTTCATGGCCGTTCATGGACTGCTTGGGTTGGATTGACTTGCATGCGTGGGAATAAATATATACTTACTTACCACTCCGCACATATACCCCCATAATCTCCCCCCCCCCTTAACGTAGAAACGAAAAAATTATCCTCCTGCCATCCTACGCGTCATGAACGAGTCAAACACAACGTATACTATCATACATGACCGTGTTAACATGGTCTTTCCCAGTCTTAGCAGGGGTGACATGTTGGTAGTCATACCAACCATCTCAACGAACGAAAGAAAAAGAAAAGATAGATGGATAGATAGATAGATGGATAGATGGATAGATGGATAGATGGATAGATGGATGGATAGATGGAAAAGAAGGGGGTGAGATGGGATTACTTGTACTGCTGTATGTGACACATGTTACTCCATCTCTTTATTTCTGTCCGTGTTTAGACATGCATGCATGCATACACACACACTGAACCCACCACCATGCCTCTCCATCCAAACAGTCAAACCTAAACAAACCTACATTCCAAGGAAAGCAGAACCACACAACCTCAAAAGAAACAGTATCTTGAAATTTCCCAACTGTTAAATCCCTATGCTTACCTTTACCTTTACCCTTAACTATATACATACATACATACATACATACATACATACACTAGATATACTTCCATGTACCTCCTCTACTTACATGCCAGTATTCCCAGCATTAAGAAAACGCCACCACCTAAAAAGAAGATGCGCCACCCTCCCCCCCACCAAGCCCCCCCCAAAAAAGGCAAAAAAAAAGAGAACGCGTTGAAAAATCATGAAAAAGAAAAATCTGAAAACAAAGTCATGAAAAAAAAGAAAACAACAGCGGGATCAAGAAACGAGGAAGAGGACATGATAAAAAAAATCAAGATAACCTAAAGAAAGAAAAAGAAAAAAAACCAAAAAGAGGGAGGGGAAATGAGTGTTAATTACCACAACGAATGATGACAAAAATTCAATTCACGACCAACACAATCTTCCCATGTTTCCCATGCTACTACTTACATCATTGCTTGCCAGTCAATCTCAATTTGGTCAAGAACATGAAAACTAATTTCATTGATTCAAAATATGAGAAAAAAAAAGTACACACACACACACACACAAAAAAAAACGCCCGCCCTTGATCACGCTTGCTTCTAAAGTGTATTCATAAACGCCCTCAGACCAAAAAAGAAAACAAGAGTAATAATATGCTCTTCTCTCCCAAAACCACAAACACACACACACACACACAAGTCTACGTTCAAGACTGCTCACGGACCACGACCCCTCGAAATACCCAGACCCTGAGGCGCAGACCCGTTGTTCTTCTCGCGTTCGCTCACACTGCTGCGTCTACCTGCAATGGCCGATATGCTTTCACTGCGCGCGCTATCCATGCTTTTGCGCATGCTGCTCGAGCTGGAGCGGCGGCGCGCCTGTCGGGCTTCGTCTGGATCATGGGGGTTGAGTCCGCTTGCTCGAGCGAATAGATTAAGGATATCCGTAAGACTAATGACCCCACTTAGTCTGCCCGAGAGACTAGCCCCGGGCATGGCCGAAATGGCCGATGCCGAAATGGCGGGCGCAACAGCTCCCGTAGCCGCGAGATGCGTGGGCGCGGTAGAGTTGACGGGCGTTGGACCAGCCATGCCGGGTAGTGGCGTCGTGGGCGAAGGCGGGACAACAATGGCTGGTGTTATTGCTGGAGTCGAAGGCCCCGACGAGGCAGGCGATGGCGCGTCGACGACCCACATGCGGTGGGAGCGGGTAGCTACTAGCTTGGCCACCGTGTGTGCAAGCGTGCTGTAGGGATTTACATGGAATACAGGGAATGAATCCTTTCCGTCGTTTACTCCCCGCTCAGATAAGATAACAGATATGAAGTGGATACACGAAGAACGAAGCAGGGGCAGCGACGTAGATTTGGTGAGGAGCTATCCGGAATTTGTTAGTTTCAGACATACGAGGATAATCTTGCAGCGGCTTACCCGAACATCCACGTGCGATATGTTGCCAATGACATTGTTTTGGGCATCGAGAACGGGCAGGGACGAGATGCCCTCGTTGTTCATGAGCTCGAGAGCCGCTGCCAAGGGCTTATCTCCACTGTTGCTGTCGTGAGCTGGGTAACTGTTGTCAAGAGGGCATGGATGCTTACTTGATAGCCAGCACCGTCTTTGAGCCGAGATTCAAGTCCTTGATCAGCTGGGGGTAGAGCTGGTTGACGGCCGGGAAGCTCGAGCGGTTCTCCCAGAAGAAGCGGACTAGTCGCAGCTGCGTGAGAATGCCGACCGTGTTGGACGTGCCCTGCTCGGCAACAAGAACTCTGTGTACGCCACTGCCAAACACCTCGATCGCCTTGGACAGATCCGTCGTCTCATCCAGCGTAATCAGCGGCTCCTTGTTGCCGCCGATATCCTTGACATCCTTGAGGGGAATGGGCTTGCCCTCTCTTCCTTTTCTCGCGAGCTCGTCAAACGAGGCAATGTCTCTCTCTTCGGGGTGTGCCAGGCCGACGACGAGGAGGAGGTAGGCGTTCAGGTCGCTGTAGTCAAAGGTGCCGACTGCGTGGCGGGTATTGGCGTGTTCGCGCAAGAGGACCACGTTGGGGGCGCCGCTCTTGACGAGAATGCTCGTAGCATCCTCGACGCTCGTGTCGTACTCAACGAACCTGACCAGGTCCGGGTCGACAATCTCGCGCAGCTGGATCGTCTTCCAGTCGCGGCCGTGGAACGTCGAGTCGGCGCCCTTGGTGGGCGGGTTGTTGAGCAGATCTTGCAGGGCCTGCTGCGTCAGGGAGGGCTGGCGTGAGGCGCGCGGGGATGTGGGGGCGCCTCGCATGTGCTCGACGAAGCTGGAGCGGTGCGACGACAGCGGGCTCGGGCTCGACGCCATCTTGAGCGCGGGTGGCGGCGGCGTGCGGCCTACAGACGACATGGAGCTGCTGAGAGAGGCATTCTTGGGGTCGGCGCCTTCGCTGTGGCCTGCCATTGCTGCGACGACGCCCGCGTACGTATTGCACGATGCGGGGCTCCGCAGCACGTCGTGTTTGCTTCGGGTTGAGGGGCCTGTTGCCGTGGGGTCAACGGTGCATGTGCTCAGGGAATGAGGCAGCGCAGACAAGCATGCGACAGCAAGCTATGGACGAGTCAGTCGACAATGAAGCTGAGCAGAAGGAGTGGAGAGCGGAGAGAGCAGAGAGAGAGAGAGCGCGCAGCATCGAGGTGGGGAGGAGCGCTTGCCCGCGAATGCAGCGTCCGCAGATCGTCTCCCGCCCTGCTGCAGGTAGAACGCGGCTTGTGTGATTCGCTGCATCGCCATTCCCCGCCGTCGTGCGCGTCGCTCAACCACATGTCTACTCTATCCATCCCCCTCTCGCTCTCACCTGCTCATCGACACACACGGCCTGGTGGGGTTGCAGCGGCTGTTTGCGACGGACATGGCGGCACTTCAAACGTCATGCTGTGCTGCTGCCGAGCCCACCCCCATTCCTCCTTGGCCGCTAGGGCGCTTTTGCAAAGTCACCGGCGCCGTTTCACGTAGAGCATGCAGCACATACACACACACACACACACACACACACACACACAAGTAGTCTTCAGTAATCGTCTTGCATTGTACTCATGGCAGTCTCATGGGCAACGCGCCGTCGTCCATGTTGAAATCACAAACATCCCATCGACAAGACCGCCTGCCGTGACTATGACAGCATCCCAAACTCCGCCCTGAAATCATAACCCAGCAAACACACCCGCCCGTCTTTGCTCCGCCTAGGCATTCTTTTGCTGCTCAGACGCGGCCGTCTCCTGATCCGCCTGGCGCTGCTGCATGCGCTCGCGGATGGCGTCACCCGATGTCGAGTCGCCATCGCGGCCACGGACAGCTGGCGCATCGGCGGCAGTGTCGCCACTGCTCTCGTCGTACGCCAGGCCGTTCAGCATTCGCGCTTCCTTCTTCTGTTGCTCTGTGCTCGACATGGCCTGTGTGACGTTGGACATTGGGCTGGGAGGAGCCTGATCTCGCATGTAGCCAGGCACTGCGCTCACCTTGCCCACGGCCGGGCTGCCGAGCTGACTGTTGTGGCGGGCTGGTGTCCTCGCGCCCTCGCCAAAGCCGACGAGAGACGCAGCCTCGTCGCTGAAGCCGCCCATGCTCGACGTGTCCATGTCCTGGTCCTCGCTCATGCGGTCCGCCTCGTACACATCGCTGCCGCTGGCCCACGTTGTGCGCCCGCCAACAGACCCCGTGGCACTGGCGCTGCCCACGGTGCTGCGCTCGCGGAACAGCTGGGGCTGGTTGTTTGCGTCAAAGTAGGCGGGCGGCGGATTGGCGGCGCTGCCCGGGTTGAGTCCTTGCGACGTGCGACCAGAGACGGCCACACGCTCCAGGCCGGCCAGCCGCGAGATGCGGTCGGCGCGCTCAGCTTCGGCGGGATTGCGATGGTGGGGGAAGTGGCCGCGATGGCCGTCCTTGATGGCCACGGTCGAGAGCTCCGACATGGTTGTCGTGACGGAATTGGGCGTGCCCCTACATGTACAGCATTAGTCGGCCATCTCAATGCCCAGCCCCGCCGAATGCATATGCCTTACGGAGCGTCGCCCGGCGTCTCGTCGCCCGACGGCGGAGGTGGGAGGTTGATCAGCGTGGGCGCATTGGCTGTCATGGTGGAAGTGTCGTGTGGGTTGGCGTTGAGTTTGGCGTGTAGAGAGGAATAGAGTGCAGGAGAAGAGGCGCCGTATTAACGGCTGGGCCAGTACAAGCCCAAGGCCGAACCCGTGACGAATGGCGGATGACGTAGCACGTACCCGAAGTGCGTTGATTTGCACGAGGCAGAAGCCGCGACGATCCCAGCCCGCCCCCTGGCCTTGTCCTTACGTCTGCGTCTACGTACCATGGGCCATTTCGCTCGGCATACTTCACTCTCCCCCTGCGTGTTGCGAGCTGTGCAATCTCGCCGCCTCATTCCCGGCTGCATTGGCACTGGCATTGGCACTGGCACTGGCACTGGCACGCGGCCGCTGCTGACGGTTGGCGGTGCTCTGCATGCAGGGTCCTACCCTAGCGTCTGCTGCCTGCGGATTGGCTACCGCGGGTGTGGAACTACTCCTATTCTGCTCACCCACTCAACCGACAGCAATGCATGGCAGTGTGCTAAGCATGACAGGCGCCTGTGCAGCCATAATCTTCGAGGGCACATGCAAGGGCGGGCGAGATATGCTGTGGGCGAGTGTTTGGCAGGTCAGTTCATTCGTGCCACAATGCAACGACACAGCACGTGGGAGAGGTAGATATAGCATCTTGTAAAGGTAAGCTGAGTAGAGGGCAACTAAGAAAGAGATGCACAGCTGAGAAGACAAACAACTTCCATGCACAACTCTTCAGCCCCTAACAGAGAACGAAGAACACAAAGACTGGAGATTCCCTCCTAGTGATATCAGTTACGCCCTCCCCACAAGCCTACCTCGTCTGCTGCCCCTTAAACGCCAATCATGCATCTCGGGTATGGGCCTCTTGGGTCGAAAGAAAAAACAGTGCAACAACTAACACGAACCGCATCCAATCTATCCACTCGAGTAACACACTTCAGCCCTCAGACTTCCAGGCCTCCAACCATGTAGAATAGCAGATAGGCCTCTGCAGCAAGCACTTCGGCCTCGCTCACAAGCACCACCTTGCTGTCGTCAAACATGAACCAGTCGCTTCCTTCCCTGCTGTAGCTGATGTAGTGACCCGAGTCCATTTTACCCTTGTGCACCACTACGCTGCTAAGTTCGTAGACGAGAGCATTCGCCGGACTGTTGATGTTGTAGTTTGTGGGCGGGGCGGTGCCAGCTACTTTGGCAGCGCGCACGGCGGCCTTGTGGGCGGCCGTGTAGGGGGATATGTCGAGTTTGACAGGAAAGCGGACGGGCGTCTCGATCTTGGACGAGGTGGATTTGGTGTGCTCAAAGCGCTGGGACCATGTCAGTATTGATTCACGTGCTGTTGGATACGGGTGGCGGACCTTGAGGTGGATGGATAAGACTGGTGGCAGTCTCTTGATGCTGAGTTGCTTGGTTGCATTCTGCGGGCTGTCGCAGTTGCGACATGTGTATTCTGCTGAGCCGAGTTTCTCCTTTGCTGTAAAGCGCTCGAGGCAGTCTCGCAGGTCCAGGGGCACGTCTTCTCCCCGTTCAGCATTCAGCTTTCGCTTCTTGCTCTGGATGCGCACGTCCAGACTGAGGTCCATGTATGGGTCCTGCGCCGTGGTCACGTTCCGGCAGCTGTCGCATGTCACAGTACTCGACAGCTTCCCGCAGAAAGTCTGGTGGATGACGCATTTGCAGTCCTCGGCGTCGTCGGTCGATCCGCCATTGGCAAGATGCAGCGTGTTCAGGATAAACTGCATGTACTCGTGTGCATCCTGTTGCTGGTAGCCGGCAAGCGCCTCGCCCGCTAGCCAGCTTCCCATGAGCATGCTGACGGCGCCAAAGCCCTCCGTCTTCTCGGACGAATGGAACTCGACAAACATTTCGTCGAGCGCACAGCTCACGCACGACTCCTTGTCGCAGTCGGTCTGCTTGTGGCCCTCGGACAGGTAGAAGTTGCGTATGAAGGGGTTGTGGACGAGCGTCTGCAGGATGACGCTCATGAAGCACGTCTGGCCCATGTTGTAGAGGCCGCGCAGGCCTATGGCACGGCAGGGGAGAAAGGTCGAGTTGCTAATAACGAGCTTGTGGTCTTCGGTCGTCGTCGTGTCTTCGTGCTTGCGCTTCTTGCCTGTGGTTCCGTCAGCCAACGCACGCAGCCGCAGACAGGCCGCGCATGCGCACCCTTTTGGAGCCGCAGGATCTCGAGGGCCTCGTCGTAGATGAAGTCCTGGCAGTTGCCGCAGTAGATGTTGCCATCGCGCGACTCGACAGCTGCTTGCGCGTTAGTGGTTGCGCCCCATGGCCCGTCGTGCTGCTGCACCCACAGAAGCAGTGCGACTTTGTCTCAAAGTGCAGATCGCGGTCGGCCTCGGTCATGATGCTGGGGCATTGCAGACACAGGAACAGCGGCCGCAGCGACACGACGTTGCTCGCGTCGGGCGTGGCATTGTACGTCTGCGCGATGATGCTGGGCTTCTCGTGGATGTTCTGGAGGATGGCGCGGTAGTGCTGCAGCGTCTGCTTGCGCGCGTTGTCGAACATCTCGCCCATGTGCTCTGGCTCTCTGTCAGCGATATGCCGTGTAGAGAAAAGGAAACGGCCAGGCACGTACCGCATCCATATTCAATGTGCGCCATCTGGCTGCTGGGCACAATGTTGCCCTTTGCATTCTTAACAATCTTGGGCGAGGCCAGCGCCGCCGCCTTGGAGGCGACTGTTACCGTGTCCATGGTGCCGGCTCAAGCTAGACGGGTGTGTGGTTGCTCGTCGTCGCCTCTACATGCTGCGGTGCTGGGCGTCTACCGGCGACTGGAGCGCAATGTGAGGGGGCGGGATATTTCTGGGGTTGCGGCTGGCGGACCTGCATGATGGCAATCGTGTTGAGCAGCACTAGCGCCTCTCCCGCCCCCCCCAGTCCTTTCGTCCCGATCCGACCAGTCTTTCAGCCGCTCCATGCTTCATGTCACAGCAAATGCCGGCCAACCAAGTAGCCTGGTCGCCTCGCTTTTTCATTTTGACATGTTTCCGGTGACGCAATACCTGCAGTCTTGCTGTGCGTTGAGGCAGGATGCCTTGCCCTGCTGAGTCATGAGCGGCACTGGTTGACAAGACACACTCACAAACATACTCAAACATATATGGCAATTTACATCTATACAGATTCATTCAATCATACACTCGGGAATCTTACAACGCCCAATCTACAATCCCATCAAAGTCCAAACCTGCCTCCCATCCCTCGAGTCGCCCATTCACCAACGAATCAGCAACGCGCCCTGGTCGCCTGTCGCATGACTCGTATAGCCTATGTACATGCAAGGTACACAACAACCTCGGCCACATTCCCCGCCATGCCCAACGACGCAACGAAAGCCGAGCATTTCGCCTTTGCCTCCGCAGCAGCAAACCCACTAGTCACCATGGCCACAAGCCCAGCATATGCCAGGGTAGCAGCCCCTCCTGCATCCGGGATTCCGGGCGTCAAGCCCAAGCCTCTTCCATGTATAGAGTGAAAACTGTTCACACAAGTCAAACCAGCATATCAGCCAAGTATCTTGACGAGAATTGGGGGGGGGGGAAATGGCACGATCAAGCACACTCCCAGATTCAAATACCTCACTGACATACACCGCCCCGTCGTCTCCCCCACACCTAACACACACGCCTGTGCCCACGCCCGCCCCCAATCAAGTCCTCATCAGAGTCCACGCCGCGGCCATTAATCCCGTCGACATGCAGCTGTGGGGCAATTCTGTTGTGGGCTGGTTGGCTGGAAGCAAGGAGAAGGGCATTGGGCGCGATTATTAGGGTGAGGGGCAAGATTGTGCTGGATGTGGAGGGGTGAGTATGGTGTGTTGGTGTATAGTCACTGCTGGCGTCGATTGTCACTGCGTTGGCACGTTGAAATCACTCTTTCAAAGAAAACAAATCCACAACAAATAGTATTGGCTAAATCAACTGCTTAATGCAGTCCTTACTCTACAGTCCTCTGTTCTATCATGTCCAACAATGACGCCTAACATTGCAGCTTGGCCGGACCAGGAATCTGGTATGGACCGCTTCCAGTGGGCTGGCCTTGAGAGTTGTAGATGCTAACCTTGATGCCAGGGTGGTCGGCCTTGTAAGCACCAGGGAAGCTAACTGTGCTGCCAGTCCTGGAACCCGAGCTAGAGACGTTGATTTGAGCGCATCCCTGGTGCGAGTGTCAGTAATAGTCGCACTCGATGTGTTCATCGTGACTTACAATGTAAAATTGAGCACCGCCAACCGACCCAGCACTGTGCAGGGCAATCAGCTCGGCTCGCAGCAGGTACTGGCCTGGGGCGACGCAAGTCGGCAGGGTGAAGTCTGTCCATCCACCGTTGGAAATCATGCGGTCAACGCCCCAAGTACCGGAGCCGTCAAGGCCGTCCTCAAAGACCTTGAACCACTGCAGGCCCGAGGGAGAGGCGCTAGCTGCGTTGGAGACCTTGGCCATGTAGAAAAGGGCGGGACCCTTGTGGGACTTGGCAATGGGGTGGTCTGGATCGTTGGCGTATCTTTGGAGGGTTAGACATGATTCAGTTTTGAGCAAAAGCAACCCAAGACGTACTGCGCTCCTCCAACGACGTGGCCCCAGTTGACTCCAATGCGGTCGCCCGCCTTGACGTCAATGACCTTGCTTGAAGAAGAGAGACCGGTATTGCAGGCCATGCTGCCATCGTTGACATTGGTAATGGGGTTGTTGGACGACGCGACACGGATGCCGTTGCCTAGGCCAAAGTCCTGACCGTTGACACGGACGCGCTGAGCAATGGTATGGGCCGACCCAAGAGCGGGCAGCAGAGCGACAGCAATGGCGAGGAACTTCATGTTGAAGGAGTGAATGGCGGTGCAGTGATGGTGAGCGAGTGATGGACAAGATGGCCTTCCTGTCGCCTTGCTCTTGTCTTATATATTCGCCTCATGATTCACCATGGCATACACGGGTTCCCGTTGTTATGATACCAAGCCTTGCCGTCATCAAAGTCAATCGCTGGGCTGCAATATAGTAGCGCCACATGCACGCAAGAGCGAGATGGTCTGCAGCTGTCGGCATGCAGTCGAGGCCTTGCTCGTGGGCGCTTTGGCGGTTGTCGTTAGCAAGCTTCCATTTCGGGCCATGGCATTCGGCCGGGTGCAGCGTATCACCGGGTTTGCCCAGGCGTCGATATGTGTTGTTTCGAAATAAATGCGCCGTGCAATCAAGCAGCGGGCTTGCGTTGCTTGGCAGTGGTAATTGTGTGCTATCGGTTAATATATTTTGCGCGATGAAGGTCCGTGGCCAAGGACCTCATGACCGGTTGCTGGCGGCGAGCACCGTGATCAAGGGCTTCATCGAGATTTTTGGAGAAGCCCACTCCGAACCGATGAGGAAAGTGTTTCTGAGCATGGGCGTTTGGGCTGGAGTCTTGGTCGTAATGTCTCGTGCTCGGTGAGTCGCAATGGGAGCATGTAAAGCGTTGGCTACTACTCCTGCGCCAGTGTCTCGTCATGTCATGTGCACACATGTTAGTTTTTCGTTTGAATACGGAGGCGGCGCAGCATGTTGAAACGTGACTGAGGTTGCAAAGGGTATTTCCGGGGCGTGTGTGTTGTCTTTGCGGAAATTGTCTGTTGCACAAGAGGAGAACTAGTCCGCGGAGGCTTGGGAGCAGCGACCTGACTAAGGGAACAAACAGAGGTCGACAGGGTCCAGGCGCCTTGGGATGGGAGTTGGTATACGGAGGTGCCTTTCAAAAGTTCTGTCTGACGCTAATCTCGGCCCTTCGGCGCAATTCTTCTTAGCGCAACTCCTACCTTTAAGCTAAGCTATTAATTAGTTATAGTTATCTATCTACTTAGTACTATAGCTCCTAATACTAATTCTTACACCTATATCTTAATTATAACGTTAAAGTTACCTCCTATTAGCAAGTTAACGTTATAGATCTTAGAGCTAACTAGTGTTAATCCTTATATGGTTAATCGTATCTATAACCTGCATGGACGCGCAATGACCCAGGACGCGCAATGACCCAGGACGCGCAATGACCCACCCCACCAAACTCAACACCTACACAAAATACCTCATAACTCTACCAATATAGACCCGATTCAGGAAGCGATTGAAGAAATCAAATCGCGCGAACTAGGCGCATCTTTCAGCTATCGCCAAGTTGCAAAAAGGTTTGGCATTAGCTATCGTACGCTCGCTCAAAGACACCAAAGCAAAACTTAGCCTCGCGCGCTCGCCCACCTCTCTATCCACCCACAACGCGAAAAGGAGCTTATATAGTACATCAAATCCCTCACTAAGAGGCGTACACCACCTTCGCGTCTAATAATACGCTATCTTGCGTTATCCTTGCTTAGTAGAGACGTTTTAGAACGCTGGGTTTCTAGGTTCCTCTGCAGGAACTCCTCTTATCTCATCTCTCGCTGGCAGAGTCCTATGGACTAGAAGCGTTACAAGGCTGATTCAGCAACTAAGTATAGGTTGTACTTTGAGCTGTTACACAATAAGATGAAGGAGTATAATATACAGCCCTCTTACATCTTTAATATGGATAAAAAGGGCTTCTTACTTAGAATCCTTAGAAGGTCTAAAAGAATCTTTAGTAAGAGGCAATATAAAAGAGGAGGAGTTGTTTCAAGCCTACAAGATGGCTCTAGAGAGTGGATTATAGTCCTAGCCTGTATCTGCTCAGATAGTACACCTCTTTCTCTATCTCTCATCTTTCAGTCAGATGCTAGAGCTCTAAAATCAGCCTAGGTAGAGGCTATTAATCCAAACAAGCACTCAGTCTTTATTACCTCATCGCCCTCTAGATAGACTAACAATAATATAGGCCTAGCTTAGCTTAAAGAGGTCTTTAAAAGAGAGACTGCACGCTACGCTCAAACTAGGTACTAGTTACTCATTGTTAATAGCCACTTATCTTATATAACCATAGATTTTCTAGATTATTGCAACAGCCATAGGATTCTAGTTGCTGTATATCCTCCTCATTCGACCCATAGGCTTCAGCCTCTTGACGTTGGGATGTTTGGGCCTCTAGCGTCAGCCTACTTAAAGGAGTTGTCAAACTTCCTCTATTGGAGCCATGGAATCCTTCCTCTAGCAAAAGGAGACTTCTTTAAGCTCTTTTAGAGGGCTTAGGGTACAGCTTTTAGAAAGGAGACTATTATAAGCTCCTTTAAGACAACTAGCATTAACCTACTAAATGCTGAGGTTATTCTCCAAAAGTTCCAACAAGAGGCCTCTAGTTTAGATGAAAGCTCTTCTTCTGTCCTTAGTGAAGATAATTAGCTCAAAATTAAGTCTATTATACGCTAGGAGGTGAAGGATTTTAATAATAAGGAGGTAAAAAAGCTTCGCCAAAGCCTCCATCACCTCTTAGCTCAAAATAGTATACTCAAAGGAGAAAACCAGGGCTTAAGGGAGGCTCTAAAGGTCAAAAAGAGACACCAAAAGAAGAGCTACATGTAAGGGGCTGCGCTCCGGGGAGCAATTGCGAGGTATACAAGAGGTTGTATTCGATAGAGAGCTATAGAGTCTACTTGCGTGGTGTTTATTTACTTGTCGGAGAAAGGTTGCACCGAGTGTCTGAGCGCGTCGTCTGGGCGCCGCTCAGGCCTCGCACAGATGCCGGGTTGCAGAGTAAGACCTGGCGTCTGCTGCTTGACCGAGATTCCATCGAGGAGCTATCCAAAGGGCGTTCAGCCCGTTACACTCCGTATGGCAGTCGTCTCTCGCAGCGCATTCGGGCCGCATGTGGGACGTTTCCTCTTGGAGTGGTAGTGGGTAGACGCCTGTGTAGTGGTCAATGAGGCAGGGACAGTGTGGTAGGTGTAGATTCTCTTTCAAGGCTCCGCTGCCGGTGAGATTGGCGACTACAGACTAGCCAGATGGAGAAGCTAGGCAATATTCATGTCGAGGATGCTGCACCTGTACGAGAAGGGACATGTTCCAGTCTTGCAGTCGTGCCCATTGGGACGGTACGGGGTGCATCGAGCATATTCTTTGCAACAGCTTGAATTCAGCGTGTGGTAGTCAGTGTCATACGGCGGTAGATGACGACAATGGATCCGTCCAGAAGCAATAGCGCCTTGATTCAGTGTTAATGTGGCAGGCTAGCAAAGCTACGAGATGCTAGCACTAGTGGACGTGTAGGGCGGCTGGCTGCAGCGCCCGGCGACAAGGCGAAACTTGGACAGAGGCCGGTAAAGAGATGCCGGATGGGTCGCTGTGGATAGCTGTGGATGTGGATGCACTGATCTGCAGGAGCTGGAGGATGAATGTGAATGGCAATGCAGCAGTCGTGGGCCGGCACGTTCGGATGATTTTCTTCTCCCCACCACCGCGGGGCGTGGCGTCTCCACGTGTTTGGGCGGTCCAGCGTCGGGAGAAGTGAAAGTGTAAGACGAGGTGCGTGTCAATCGCTGCCAGACGGACGCAGACGTGTTCCATGTCTTCGGCAATTGCGCAGCGTGCATGTGGCGACGGAACAGAGGACAGCCGAATCGCGGGCAGGCGGATGGTGATAGGTCGAGGCGGCCGAACAACGAGAACAGCGCCACAGACTATGGGCTGCATGATGACGATGGCGGCCGAACCGTGGGCATTACATCACCGGGTGTGAGAGGGAGAGTGGGAGAGCGACGGCGAGTCTCCATTGCCAACGCCCTTATTACTGCCTGCTGCTGCTGCCCAAGCCGCCCGTCTGATTCTGCAACCATCCTGCTGATCGGCAGAGGCCATCCCCATTCATTCATTCACTTGCATCCATGTACCCTGGAAGCGTTCGGCTAGGATGTCTGTAGGGGAGCCCTTTGTGGGCACAGGCGTGTAGAAGACGCTGTCCTCGCGGTCGTAGCCGCCGTCTTGGTCGTCGACGGGCACGCCGCGAATGCTGCCAGCATGAAGCGACTTTCGGCTGGCGGAGCGCTTCATGCTGGCACTCCGCTTGATGGAGCCTTTTTTCTTGAGGGTGCCGCTGCGTGAGGGCGCGGGGCCCTGGTTGAGCGTCGACGAGCGCGACTCGGAGCGGGGGCGCATGTCGCCATCGACAACCGACGAGCCGCGCGTGGGGGCGTCAAAGTCCTCGTCGAAGCGGCCTCTGCGCTCGCGATCATGGTGGGCGGCTGGCGACGAGGGGCTGAAGTCGTTGATGGCGGCGTGGCTGTGGGGGGCGCTGCCGTAGCCTCGACTGAGGTGGGCTGGGTCGTCGACCTGGGGCACCGAGTGGTAGGCGGCCGAGGGCGTCACGGGGCGCTGCATCGCCATGGCGGGTGTGGACCCCGGGGATGTGTATATGTGGTGTCTGAAGTATATGTATGTAGTATGTATGTATGTATGTGTGTATTTACAAGTAGGGGCGTGTTCGCAGGGACGAGTAGCTGGGGGGGGGGGTCTTCTGCAAGTATACAGCGCACACCACCCTGGCCGCGTGGGTGCTGTGGCTGGTGGTGACGTAGGCCCGAATGGGAAGGGCAGCAGGAGTTTCCATCTGCGCATGGCGGCCCTGCATGCTAACACCCCCAGCCTGGCGCAAGTTCCTCAAAGACCTCATCACCTACTTCCGCGAGGTCGCCGCCTCGTACGAACACCGCGCAAAGTCGCTCGTCAAAGTCTCCAACGTCATCAACAACACCAATGCCCCCTCCTCGCTCCTTGTCGATGGCGGCCTGGGCGACGCCAACCGCATCCTCCGCGATTTCCACAAGCAGGCCATTGCCGAGGCCACCAAGGCCCGAGACGTCGAGACAGACGTCATCAGCCAATTGAGTGGCCTGAGGGCCGATCTTGCCCAGAAGATCAAGGAGATCAAGTCACTGTCGGGCAATTTTAAGAACAACGTCGAAAAGGAAAAGGAACTCACCAGAAAGTGCGTCACTGCCCTCGACGAGGTCCTCGCAACCGCCGAGGCAGACCCTACAGCCGCCGCCGGCAAGGGTGATCCCTATGTGGTCCGTCTGGGGGTCGAGCGCCAGGTCGAGCGCCAGATTGACGAAGAGAACTATCTCCATAGGGTCAGTAGTTTCACGTAGACGAGGCTCGCAGCTAACCACCCCAGGCCTACCTCAACCTAGAAAACTCGGGCCGCGAACTCGAGTCGATTGTCGTTGGCGAAATCCAAAAGGCCTACAATGCCCTCGCCAGCATCCTGAAGCGCGACGCCGACGAGCAGTACAGCACGGTCGAGAGACTGCGTAACGGCCCAATTGCCATGCCCCGCGACCTCGAGTGGAACAAGTTTGTGCGGAGCGACCCTCACTTTGTCGACCCCGACATGCCCCTGCGCAAACTCGACGACATCCAGTACCCCGGCAAATATCACCCAGCCACCATGGAGGTCAGGGCCGGCATGCTCGAGCGGAAGAGCAAGTACCTCAAGTCCTACACACCAGGCTGGTAAGTAGTGCTCTTTTGGAACAAGACCTCTCTAACAAGCACAGGTACGTCTTGTCGCCAACCCATCTCCACGAGTTCAAATCGGCCGACCGCATCTACACGCAACCTCCCGTCATGTCCCTATATCTGCCAGACCAAAAGCTTGGCTCTCGCTCCCAGCCCGGAAGTTCCTCGCACAAGTTTGTTATCAAAGGCCGCCAAGCTGGATCCATGCACCGCGGCCACACTTGGGTATTCCGGGCAGAGACGTACGAGACCATGGTGGCTTGGTTTGACGACATCAAGGCCTTGACAGAGAAGAGCGGAGAGGAGCGCAATGCCTTTGTTCGCCGACACGCAAGCGTTAGGAGTACCAGTGCTGGCAGCGCTCGCTCAGCAAGCTCTGACGGCGGGCTCGAGGAAGACGAGGCAGACGCAGTTCCCTTCTCGGCCAGCCAGTCCATGAAAGAACAGACCACAGGCCAGTCTCCGGTGCGACCGACACGACCTTCTCCAGGTGGGCGATTTCCGTCTGATTTGATGGTCAACCGTAACTTACAAGCTCCTCTCTCGCCATCTAGTGGAAGTTCAGAGGTCGGCCAGGATCTAGCAACCATGTCCGGAGGTCTGCCACAGGGAATGCACCCCATGTATTTTGCGCATACGCCTGCTCATCAGTCTGGTGAGCCAGCCCATGCCACTCAGTATGCTCAACCGATTGCACAATACCCACAACCCGCATACGAGGACCCCTATGCGGCCCAGCAATCGTACGTACCCGAACACCGCGACTACCCGGTCCAGCCTGTTCATAATGAGAGCTACGATCTACCATACTCTGAGAACAACCATACCATTCAACGCCAAGATAGCAGGGACTATGGCAATTGGCTGGCACCCGCCGCTGGTGGGATAGCAACTGGAGCCTTGGCCAGCGAAGCATACCGCAGAAAGCAATTGGCACAGCAACATGCAGACGCTCAGCAACAGGAGTTGAACGGACATTCCGAGCAGCAATATTCTGCTGAACATGTTCAGACGCCAAATCACCCACAGTCGACCCATGAAATCATGCCTGATCAAATCGACGACACTGGTTACGTTGCACCTGCTGCACAGCCAGCATCCGCTCCAGTGGTAGTCCCAATCGACAACCAGAGTCACCACCAGCAAAACAAGGCGCCCGAATCCCCAGCGAACAAGTCTTTTTTAGATGGGTCTGAAGTAGGTGCCGCCCCTACTTCTGGAAAGACTATCAATGGCGGACCTGTTCCTGCTGAGTTGGTAGATACTGCAGAGGATATGGAACACCCTGGCATGGTCAAAAGGACTGGTACTGATTTCAGTGTCAGCGATCTGCACGTTCCGGGCGAATATCCCAGGACGAGCATCGGCGATGGCACAGTCACTCCAAGGATGCCTAACGGGACTACAGTGTAGCAGTCTGGACCTTTTAAAATACATGATTGTATAGGCATTTGACTGGTATGGGTAACGAAATACACGATGGTGCACATGGTACACATGGTACACATGGTACACATGGTACACATGGTACACATGGTACACATGGTACACATGGTTCACGATGGGTTCACGATACATGGTATAGGCAGGAATATTGGGTTGGCCAAGAGCATGGGATACACTTGGGCCGTTTATTCCGTGAAGCATATCGGCCTCGTTGCGATTTCATCCTTACTCGACACAATATTCTCCTTTTTCCGTGATTCTTTTTTCTTCCCTCTTTTTTTCTGAGCGAGAGAGCTTTCCACCTTCGTTGAGCGGTGTTTTTTCTGCTACCGCGCCCCTCTCCCGCCATTTGATACCCAGCGCAATATCCCTCCCCACTGACAGAGTATACATGCTTTTTTTTGAACGTTGTTCAGCTAGTCTTGCTTATTGTTGATTTTATGTATACTGGAATCAATTCTGTGCACTCTACTTTCGCTTATCCACGCATGGCTTGATTGCGCTACTGTATGTAAAAAGTGTCTAACATACCATACCTACCCTTTGCCCATGTAGTCCCGAAACAGAAAACCCTCCCACGAGGCCTAAAACATGCCTGCTGTACGTGTAAGAAACGCGTCGAGGGTCCGTTGTACTAGTGCTAGTCGGCCCACGCATGGGTATGGCATGTGTGTGTGTGAGTATGTGCATACGTACATTCTTCACAACCCCAGGCCCATCCGACACAAAAAAACAAAAAAATCTAAACTTCATTTTATTTTTATTTCCCCTTTTCCACGTGTTTCGCTGGGGGGGGGATTTTTTTTTCTTTAAACGAATGACGCAAACATACACAAACACTAACCCCGCGAGTGAAACATATAGCTTGAGCATGGGGGTGTAGGTAAGGTAAGGTAAGGTAGGGGGGGGGGTTGGCATGTGTGGAAAAACTTGTTTCGAATATGGGAATTGTTTGCTAGGTACCAAGAAACACTTTTCTCATTCTCTCGCTTTCTACTTTTCTGTCTAATACACATGTACATGTACATGGCTAGTCAGGTCCGGTCAGCGCTGAAAGGGGGAGAGGGGGGGATTCTAGACCTCTGAGATATACCCCACATACCAAGCAGCAATGGGAGCTAGGCAGATCTGCGTTCTGGAATCTATAGGAGAGAGAGAGAGAGTGTGTGTGTGCGGAAAACAAGGCATTCGTGACTCGTATTCGGTGTCTCCGTGTGTCGAGTTGCATATATAGTGGTATATGGGTGGATGGATGGATTTGGAAAAGACTAAACCTGACTTTGACTTACTCGCTCGCTTACTATATTTGCTTACTTGGTGCTCGGCTTGGGCTTGGGCTTGAGGCTGGGCTAGGCTGCGGTACGGTGCGGTGCGGGACTGGGCGTCGGGTTGGATGGTGTTCTGGACAGTTGAAGGCGTGGATGGAGGAGAGGTGTGTGGGGGGCGTGAGTGGTGGAAAAATAGACAGGAAAGGAAATGAAGATTGATGGGGAGGAGAGAGAGAGGAGGAAAGTAATCATGGCTCGAGATATATGCATATTGAGGTTTTTTGTCTTCTACCTATGTGCTTGTATCTATGTCTGTATACATACTCTCCATCTCATCTCGCCATGGATACCGACTATCCATCCAAACAAATAAACAAACACACAAAAAATAATATTACCCAACGGCTACCCAACGCCTGCGCCTCAACCCCCCTAAATCGCCTATTTCCCCCTTCCTCCCTTTCTCTCTCCTAAAAAGGGCGCACCAGCCACACGCCGGTACTCTGCTAGCCCAGCCTCAGCTCCAGCCCCAGCCCCAACGCTGCATTCTCTTTCTCTTTCTTTCTCTCTCCCTTCTCTCTTTCGCCCTACTGTAACCACCATCCACCACACACCCCTGACCATCCCCCTCCGCCGCATACCCGCTTACCCTCATTTCCGCACTGACTTTCCACCCACCCATCCCTCTCGCATCCCGCATCCCCCCCCCCTAAAACAAAACTCTCTTTCTCTCCCTCCCCACACCCACACCCACAGACAGACATACCACGTGCAAGCCTGGGATTCGTCCATGGACAAGTAGTAAATAAGCTGCGCATTTTCTTTCTTACATAATACACCGTAAGTAGCGCGATCAAAAAAAAACCGGTCATCCTGAATATAGTTTTTTTTTTTTACCCTATACCTTTACCTATGCCTATGCCTATACCTATACCTGCCTCTGTATACGGAGGTGACTGTCAAAAGTTCTTGCTAGCGCCACGCTAAGCCGCCAGCCTATCGGCCCGACTATTCTTGGCGCCCACACTAATTTTTTGAAGCTGGCGATAGCTTGTATACTTATTTTTTTGAGTGTTTTTGATCTACTATGGCTCTAAATACGGATATATCGACCCGCTCTTTTATTGTTGCATT